AATTCTAACTAAAGGAAAAGTTGTAGGTTCAGTTCCTTTTCTCCATTTTCAAATTAAATGAAATTGCCACTAATCATTTGGATATACACTGATGTCAGTTTTTGTTTATCTTTGAAGAACACCTTTTCTTAAAGTAAGATAGTTCTGACTTTTTGGCTAACTTTTTATACAGTTGACCCCTGAACAACACAGGTTTGAACTGCACAGGTCCTCTTATATGTGGGTTTTTTTCCTCCAATAAATACTGTAAATGTATTTCCTATTCCTTATGATTTTATTAATATTTTCTTTTCTCTAGCTTACTTTATTATAATACAGTATATAACACATATAGCATACAAAATATGGGCCAAGCAACTGTTTATGTGATTGGCAAGGCTTCCAGTCAACAGTAGGCTATTAGTAGTTCTGTTTTGGGGGAGTCAAAAGTTATACTCACTTTTGAATGCATAGGGTGTGGGGGTCGGCACCCCTAGCCCCCACATTGTTCAAGAATCAACTATATTATGTATTTGCTCCTAGAAGCAGAAAATAAACGTTTTTATAGAAAGCCCCAAAGATTGATTTGTTGAAATATACTCCAGAGATGGAAACTTGCAGAACCCTTTATGACTGCCCGCTGTTTCCCTAGCTGAGCATTGAATCTCCTTCTGAAGATGAGGGAGTTTTTTGGGGTTTTTTTTCCACTAGAGTTTTTGTTAGACTGTTTTAAGTAGGACTTTTTTGACATATCATTGCTTAGTGTCTTACTTTCTCAGTTCCATTTAAGTTCTACATAATCTGATATGCCTTTCGCCCTTCCTCTGTTTTTTTTTTCCACTCTTAATTGTGGTCCTTCACTTTGTCTACCACCTCTGCATACCTCTCCTCTCCCCCCAGACGTACTAATTATGAATTGTGCCAAGTAAATCGCAGTATAATCGTACCATGGCTTGGGTTCAAGAGGAAAGTTGTCGCTCACATCCTGTTTTAAAAACCAGTTACACATGGAGAAGATGCGATCCCTTTCGTAATTCTTAATTAGTGCTACTGCCATTATCAGAGAGGACATTTAGTTAACATTTTATATATTAAATTAAAAAAGGGGACCACATACGATTTCAGAGCCTCATCTGATTATGTACCTCCGGAGATGGGGACACAGGAGTGCTGCACTCCCAAGGCTGCCACCTGAGCACAGAAGAAGGTCTCCAGCACGCGGGGTCCAGGGACGGCCTTAGAAGTAGGGATGAACCTAAAGTTGGTGGGGACAGAGGTATGAGGACTTGTCTTTCCTGCTGGCAGCTCTGGCTTCTGTGTCATCCCCGGGTGGTTTCTTATTTGTTTCGCAAACTGAGCCAACATCAAATGAAATGGCTAGAGTATTATATATTTTCTGATTTTAGTATTTGCGGTAATTTTTTCCATATGATGTCTCCAGAAGATTTTTCACATGCAGGCTTTGAGGATTATATTTTCTAAAGGCCAGAATTATTCTACATTTTATTGCTCTTGTCCTCGGGTAATTCTGCTGAGTAATATTTAATTTTTCAGTTCAGTGTGATAGGATGCCGTAAAGTCTAGGTATAAATCTGTGGATTGACTTTGTAAGCAGGAGAAAGTCTAATACATAGTTTTCTATTAAAAATTGTAAGAGTGGAGGGGGGGAAAGTATGTTGAGTATAGACCAAACGCTAGTTGACTGAAAAAACGCTGTTTTTTCCTTATGGACAGTAGGTCTGAGTAGTTTTGAAAGTGTAACAGTTTAGCCTGTGTCGTGCCTGTTGTAGAGCCACATATGGCAATGCAGTGGGAAGACCTCCTTTCAAACAGATTGGCGCTTTCGTTGCGTTTATTGCCTTTGTTGTGCTTCTCTTTCCCATACTGTTTATGTGCCTGGGAATAAAGAACAAGTAGTGAACTTGAGAATGAAAGGAGAGAGGTATAGAATAACATGTGGAAAGAATCGTGTAATAAAATACTCCTTTAATGGATTAAAATCCTTTTAAAAGGAACACTTTCCTGAATATAAGGCTATTTTGTTCCTGTTTCTTTGACCCCCTGTCTAATTAGTCACTTGACCTCCTTTGTGTTACCTACCACATTCCCTTCTTTCTGAGCTCTGGGCCACTAGAAACGCATTTGGGGTTTTCCATGTGCCATCTTCCATAGTGATGCTTGCATTGTTCCCTCTGACTGTAATTGTCCTTCACTGTCCTCAATTTATCCTTAGAGTTCAGTCTACTCATTCTCCAGGGGAGCCTACAGCTCAAGTGCCATGTCCTTCCTAAAACCTCTCTTCATTTGAACTTGAAATGCTCTCTCTCTCTCTCTCTCTCTCTCTCTCTCTCTCTCTCTCTCTCTCT